TAATCCTTTAAAATACTTTTTATTTCAAGAAGAAAAAAATCAAGGCACAGTCATAGTCTGAACCAAGCAAAACCAAACTCCAACAGTATAAATAACTCAATGTCCATTTATCAGGGATTCAATCACCATCCTCTGGGCTCCCCCACAGGGCTTGGGTCACTTCTCCAGCTCCACCCTCAGCAGCACACACAGCTCATCTAGGCTCCGGCTGCTCCACTCCACTGCCGCTGCTGTTCTCGGTGCTCATCCCGTGGTCCTGGCTCCTCCAAAACATGGGTCTTCAGCTGCAACTGCACACACTTTCTCCAATAGCCTCTCACATGCCCTCCTCATGGTGCCAAGCCTCCGCTTCTATGCATGACCCCTTCAGTCCTGGGCCTTCAACTGCCACTGAGACAGTAGCTTTACCAATGGCCTCTCCTGGCCTCTCACAGTGCCAAGCCTCAGCTGCTCGCCATGACCCCTTCATGCCTTCAAACCGGTGCCATCGGGAGACTCTTACACATCACCAAGACCAGCTTCCAGCACGAGGCACAAGCTTGGCCACCTCTGGAACACAACTTCCCTGTGCTGTCAGGAAACATTTCCCAGAAGGTTTCACATCAGGGATGCTGGTCTCTTCTTAATCACCGCTAATTTCTTAGCTCCAGCTGACCAGCATCAATTGTCCCATTAACATAAAGGTTTCCCTTCAGTAGTTCTGGTACCTTGTTAATCACAGCTGATCCTTCAGACCCAGCTAATCATAACCACGGGATCTTAAATCAAAATAGCAAATGGCTCCGATAGAGTCTTTCATTTTCCCTCTGAAATTCCACAAATCAGGCCTCCATCATCTGCACTGCTCTCAACATTATCTTCCAAGCTTCCACAGAACATCCCACTGAGCTCTCAATATCACTGCTTTTTCTAGGTCAAAGTTCCAAAGTCCTTTCACCATCCTCCCCAAAACATGGTTGGGTCTGTCACAGCAATAACACGCTACACTAGTTTTTTGATTTCTGTTGTTATGATGAAACACCATGACCAAAAAGCAAGTTGGGGAGAAAAGGGTTTATTTGGCTTACACTTTCATTTTGCACGTCATTATTGAAAGAAGTCAGCACAGAAACTTAGACAGGGCAGGAACCTGGAGGCAGGAGCTGATACGGAAGCCATGGAGATAATACTGCTTACTGGCTTGCTTCCCCTGGCTTGTTCAGCCTGCTTTATTATAGAACCCAGGGCCAGTCCAGGAATGGTACCACCCACAATGGGCTGGGCCCTCCCCCATTGGTTACTAATTGAGTAAATGCCTTATAGCTGGATCTCATGGAGGCATTTCCTCAACAGAGGCTCCTTCCTCTCTGATGACTCTTATCTTATGTGAAGTTGACACAAAACCAGCCAGTACACAGATGACAGTCACAAATTCCCTCTGCCTCTCTAGAGGCAGATATACATGATATCATGATATACAATAGAACAAATGTATTTAAATTGGACAGGATGCAACTTCAGGTCAGTGGCTTCACAATAAACTATGCAGTCTTCTTTGTCAGAGAGAAAGAGGTCTTTTTTGAGTGGTAATAGTAAATGGCCATTAGACTGAGTGGGCTAGAGACCAGAGTGGTTTATATGATTCTCTCTGGAAGTGAATCTGCTGGGGAGACAGTTTGTGAGAGCCTATCCAGGTGTAGTAACAACCCAGTTTTTTCCTATGATAGTCAAAAATGGTCTTTAGGCAAATAAATGGACATCAGAATGGAGCCTCTTCCAGCCTCCAAGAGCCTACATTAGCACAATAACTGCTGAATTTAGGGTGGTGTACCTTGGCTCCTTTGCCAGGGTAGGAGAGTAGTTTTTGTGTTTGGTTAGTATTTCACAGATTTTGATTTTGGTTCTGCTCTCTCCTAAATGATTTGTTTTAGAAAAGGGAAAGAAAAAGTAAATTCATGGATACTCAAAGGAAGAATAACCCTTTCCCCTTAGGTAAGAAGAGTATTAATTAGTACTCAGGTCTTAGAGCTGAAGTAACACCCACAGATTGGAACTAACAAATGTGCTGCCCCAGTTCCCCTGAGGGGCTGCCTGTGATGTGTTATTAGGGACTGGAGTCAGTCATGAGTAGCTCTGGAATGCTGCCATTTGCTTATGTAAGTTGCAAATTGTGATGAAGTTTCAAAACTGCATTGTCAAGTATTTTGAGTGTATGCCTCCCCAGAATTCATAAGATTATCATGGTAAAAAGGCACTTCCCCACTCATCCTGACTTAGAGGATGAAGGATGTACTTGAAGGTCTCAGATGCAAAGCTGTGGAATGACTTTCAATCCCTTCATTTAAATATCGTGGTGCACTTTGTCCCTGAGGTTGACCTCAGAACCTTCTGGTCTTTCTGCTGTATTAATAGTGGGACCGTGGAAACAGACCTTTAAATAATGACTGAATCTTAGTCTTGGCTGTGCTGCCCCTCAAGCGTTTTGTGTATGCCTACTTCCTGAATAGAGCCTGAAGAATGTTTTAATTTCTAAAGGATCTGCTTAATGGACAATGCATGTCACTTGTTTGGGAAGGTGCATACATTGTGCTTTTCTGTGGTATCCATGGGTTCCAAGCTTTCCTGTGTTTCTATTAAAAAGAAACTGTTACTGACTGTTACTATGGGGAAAATAGCCAGCCAAAGAAACACACCCTGAGCAGAGCCAATGAAACACACTTTGGCCCTGAAACCAGAGCCAAAGAAATGCACACTGACTCTGAAACCAGTGCCAAAGAAACACACTTTGTGCCTGGAATCTGAGCCAGTGAAAGAAATACACCCTGACCATAAAAGTAGAACCAAAAGGCTAAAAAGGACCAATGGAAAAAACACATTTTGGCCCTGAAATCAGAGCCAAATCTGACCCTGAACTTGAGCAGAAAACCAACCAATCTCTGAGCATGGGATCTAGCCAGTCTGAGTTTAGGGATTGAAATTGACCAATCCCCACCCTGGAAACCTCCCTGGAAAAACTCCACCCCTAAGAAGCCTTAAATAAACCCTGTGCCTGTTCAGCTTGTGGATATCTTCCACCCTGACAGAGGCAGTCACTCTCCTGGGTTCTTTCCTCCCAATAAATCTCCTGAATGAGGTTTGGGTGAGACCTTTCTTCTTGGAGAAGTAACAGTTTTTCGATGGAGTCAGCAGAGAGGAGCTGAGCAGGGCTGTAACACTTTCACAGGAGAAACCTTCCCTTAAGGAAGCAGAGTTGTTATTTACATTCTGGGAAACTAGAGCTGAACTGTAACAACTTCCCTGGGGAAGCCTTTCCCTGGAGCAGGGCTGTAAGCTGCTATGTTTAGTGTGACCTGTGGTATTCCTTGGTAATACTTTTACATCCAAGCTGTAACACAAGGTACTCCTTGGCTCCTGAGTGCCAGCATTTCTTTCCATCCGAACTGTAACACTCAATATTCTTTGGCTCCTGAGTGCCAGATCCCTATCTGTCTGATCTGCAATTCTTTTAGCCACTAGCACTTTCTGGCCTGATTTTTCCCAGTTATTGATTTGTCTCTGTAAAGTGTACATATCAAGTCTCTGTACATTATCAAGTAGATATCCATTTTGAACTCTGGGCAGATATGAGCATGTGTCTTGGGCTGTAAGGCACTGGTGTCCTTTTAGAAAGAGTCAGCAAGGATTTTCTGTGGAAGGCACAGCCTTTTCAGATCTTCAGTAATACCTCGAGACAATGTATGAATAGTCTGCTACAGGTGGCTCCTTGGTATTATGTCAAACTATATAGAAATGCAATTCATAATATTATTTGATACTGTCTTTTATTTGGGAGAAATATATTGGCACACATCCTGGAAAATAAGCATAAAAATGTCATACTATGGTAACTACACAACAAATAAAATGATAGATTTCAATCTCTTGGCCTTTCACCATGTTTATCCTTGATTAAAGGTAAACTGTTTTCTCCATAGGGTGTTTGGAGAGTCCTTAAATGAAAACATTCCCCCCCCCCCCCCCCCGTTTTGTGTTTGAAGAATTTTCAGCAAAGTGTATGTGGGGGGTGGTGCTTCTTTTTCTTCTTTAGGATTGTTCCTCTGTGTTTTTCAAGATTCAGCAGGAGCCAGACAGCTCCTTTATACATACCCACTGCTTATCTGTTGGTTGACCTGTAGTTACAAAGTATACAGCACTTAGTTACAATCCTGTATGGTATTTTCTTTAATTATTTCAGGACAATGAGGAAGTTTTAATATCTCAAGATGCTGTTAAATTGGGACCATGTGTTTTCAAAGAAGCGTCTGGCTAACAGTGCTGCTCTGAGGCAGCCTTATGGAGCCAAGGTCCATCTTTGTGCTTGTAAGGATCACAGGCTCCTAGAGTGCTTTTGTGTGTTGTTCGTGACTGCTGCCTGCTGCTGTTTTTTCCTAATCCTCTGAGTGATGGATGAGCTCTTCTGGGAGCTTTTGGTTGAGTTGAAGCACTTGGAAATGTCACCCTGCCCTCCCACCTATCACTCTTAGTACCACATCATACTTGTTTAAAGACTTGTGAGCTTCTTTATATGAGAGTTGACACTTGTTTTCTCTGATGTTGATAAGGGTTTAGCATGGTGTCAATAGAATACTCCTCCCTCTGAGAAGCTCTTATTTAACAATCATGTTTAAAACTGTGTCAAACTGCTACTTTGCTTTTTGAGTAACCTTGTGTTTTGTTTCTTTGGCATTGCTGGTTGATTGAACAAGGCCTGCATGTGTTAGACAGCTGCTCTAGCCCTGAGCTAAATCACCAATTCACCATTTTGAGTGCTAGTTCTTTTTAATCAACAAATGATTGCCCTCACTGAGTGGGTAAGGAAATGGTCCACTCTTATTGTGTGAGGAAGCCTGCTATCAGCCATGCTTCCAGATCACTTCTAATGGCAGTAACCTGTTGTACCCCAGCAGTGGCAGAGTTATAAATGGAATATTGTGTATTAGTAGATAACACTGTGTTACCAGGTGTCTTTCTCTGTTTTTAAGGAGTGGTGAATGTGTTGCTAACAACTCCACTCTGGGTGGTAAACACCAGATTGAAGCTGCAAGGGGCAAAATTCCGGAATGAAGACATTATACCAACTAACTACAAAGGCATTATCGGTAGGTGTCTCTGGGATATGTCCTTTGTATTTGAAATCTGTTTCCACAGTAAAGCTGCCTAGGGGACAGCCTCAGATCCCAACAAACCATTGTTTGTTTATGTGTCTGTGGTTGATAGGAACTCATCTGGACTGACGATAGCTGAGTGTCCTCAGCTCTGAATATACTCTTCTCCTAACAATGGTACAACACCACAGGACGCACCTACTGTGCCCCTGTTCCTATCTTACCTGATAACAATCCTAAGATTAGGGGTAGAGACAATACTGTTCCCATGAAGTACAGGGAAAGACTGTGAGTACGTGAGTTTATTTAATTTTTTAAGTGTTAGATATTAAAGCTCGGGCCTCAAGTGTGCTAGACAAGTGTTCACCCTAAACTAAATATTTTTGTTGTTGTGGTCATTGTTGTTTTCATTTTTCAAGACAAGGTTTCTCTGTGTAGCCCTGCCTGTCCTAGAACTTGCTCTGTAGACCAGACTGGTCTTGAAGTCATAGAGATCTGCCTGCCCCTCTGCCTCCCAAGTGCTGAAATTAAAGGCTTGTACCACCACCACCAGGCCTTGTTTTGTTTTGTTCTAAATTTTTTATCAATTTATTTTTATATTACAATCCCAGTTCCCCCTCCTTTCTCTTTCCTCCCACTCCCCCTCCCCCACTTCCCATCTGCTTCTCAGAGAAGGTAAGGCCTCCCCTAAGAGGTCTACTAAGTCTGTCTCATCATCTCCTTGAGGCAGGACTCTCCACTCCCCACACCCTGTGTCTAGGCTGAGCAAGGTATCTCTCCATATAGAATGGGCTCCACTAAGTCAGTTTGTGCATTAGTGTTAGATCTGGGGCCCATTGCCAGTGGCCTCATATATTGTCCCAGTCACACCATTGTCACTTATATTAAGGGAGTCTTATGCTTTGTTTTATTTTTAAGACAGTCTCTTATAGCCTAGGCTAGCCTCGGACTCATAGCTGAGGATGATCTTGAACTTGTGATCCTCTTGCCTCCACCACTCAGTGCTGAGATTACGGAAGTGCATCACAGTGCCATGCCTAAGACTAAACCCAGGACTTTGTATATGCTAGGCAGGCACTCTACTGACTGAGCTACATCCCCAGCTCAAGGGGTTTAGTTTTTCATTTTGTTTGTTTTGTTTTGTTTTTAGACAGAATTTGCCATTTCCCAGGTTGTCCTCAAATTCACTGTATAACCTACTCTGGCCTCAATTCATAGCAGTTCTCCCAAGTACTGAGGTCACAGGTGTGACCCACCACATCCAGTGTATTACAGCCTCTGAGACAATCTCACTGTGTAACTTAGGCTGGCCTCAAGCATGAGGTCCTTCTGCCTTTTAGCTTCCCCAGTGCTGGTGTTACAAGAGTTTACAGTTCAACCAGCCCAAGTTAATATTTTATCACACTTATCTGCAATGATGTCTTTGGATGAAGATACAAGGATAGTATCTGATGACGTCTGCTTTTTTAAGACAAGGTCTCACTGTACAACTGACTTTGAAGTCCTGATCCTGACATCTTAACCTCTGGAATGCTGGGATTGCCAGAGTGTGCCACCACCACATACTGCCTAGCTTCTGCTTCTTAATAGAACCACATGGCTTGCATTTCTCTTTGTAACAGAATTGGCTTTCTTATAAGCCATTTGTCATAGATTCTAAGAAAAGATCTTGTGTTATGCTAGGCCTCAAAAATTATGTGGTTTATAGTTCAGTTCTGTGTAATACACAGTCCCAGTTGTGCTGACAGTGCAGCATTCAAGCCCATATTGTCAGGGAAAGTTACCTATGATAGAGCTTGACATTGGAATTTGGTGATTATCAAAAGGTAGTTGAGAGTGGGGGGTGGTGCACACCTTTAATCCCAGCCCTTGGGAAGCAGAGGCAGGTGGATCTCTGTGAGTTAAAGGCCAGCCTGGTCTATAGAGCAAGTTCCAGAAAAGCCAAGGATACACAGAGAAACCCTGTCTTGAAAAACAAAGCAAAATAAAAGGTAGCTAACTTCAGTGTATGGCAGTCCACACCTGTTGTGTGAAGCAGAAAGATATAATGTTTAAGGCCATACTGGGTTACATTGCAAAAACATCTTTAAAAACAAACAAATGAACAGAAAGGTATCTAAGTAGGGAATCTGCCTTCAAAATATCAAAAAAAGGGTGACAGAACAATTGTCTTTTCTAGTTAGGGCACTGTCATGGTGCCTTACAAAAGCCTGACTTCTTGCTTAGATGCATTCCACCAGATTATTCGAGATGAAGGAATCTTGGCTCTGTGGAATGGCACCTTTCCCTCCTTGCTGTTGGTCTTCAACCCTGCCATCCAATTCATGTTCTACGAAGGCTTAAAACGGCAGCTTTTAAAGAAGCGGATGAAGGTAATCCCTAATTTTAAAAGTGACTTAAAAAAATGCCTGTTTCCTTGCCGGGTTGAAATGCTTCCTCTTCTGCTTTCCAGCTCTCTTCTCTGGATGTGTTCATCATTGGTGCAATAGCCAAAGCGATTGCCACCACAGTCACCTATCCCATGCAGACAGTACAATCTATTCTGAGGGTAAGTGTGGGGAGTTCTTCCTAAAGTGAGTCCAGTGACATCTAAAATACATCCTAAATTTGGTAATGCAGGTGGTTTTCCACCTTAGTTTTCTAGCCCATTTTTCCCTGCATGCAATACTCTGCAGGCTTACGGCTTTCAGCTGGCTTTCTGCGTGACCTGGAATGAGGCTTATGTTGGAATTTTAGTAGCGTATTGTCTCAAGATTGCAAAAGGATTCCTCAAGGACCTCAGGACAACCTAAGTTTGCCTCCTTCCCATTCACATCGTTTGCCATGTGCACTGGAGCCAGATGACCTTTGGCAAAATCAGAGATTATTACCTTTAGTTCACTCGCAAGTAATTAATGATTTAACTTTTCCAAACCACTTTCAGATTTCATTTCTTTCAGACATTTGGTTGTTTATACATTCAGACATTTTTAGACACTCAATGAGAAGCTGGAGGTACAGTGTAGCCCCTGTCCTCACAAAGACAGCAAGTGAAAGAACCAAGTAATTATTATAAACTGAATCGGCTGTTAAGGACATGGACAGCACTGGCTTACAAAAGAGGAGCTGTGGGGTTCTTCCTAGACATTTGGCTGGATGCCTGCCCTTCTGAGAAGGTACAAGGAAATATGAAGTGTGTTCCATACAAAGAGGGAGGACGGTGAAACCCAGAAGAGAGAGAGAGCCATGTCAAGAGCTTGCTTCATCTTAGAAACAGAAAGGAGGCCTCTGTGGCTGGGAGTGGCTTGCCCAGCATGGGTCTGGAAGAATTAGAGGAAAGTTGTAGGTGAGGAACGTGGGCTGGAGGATTGAAGTAGTATGCTGTCAGAAAGCCTTCTGCAGTGGATAGATCAGAAGCTGAGAGGGAGGGTCGGGGGAAGAGTGTTCTAAGAACATATGAACCTGATTTCAGATCTCTGGTACCCACTGAAAAAGTCAGGCATGGCTTCCTGTGCCTGTATCCCCAGCATGGGCTTGGGACATATGGGGGTGGAGGAAGGCAAATCTGGTTTAGTGAGAACCTGTGTTATGACAGTACAGCAGGGATCCAGAGAAGAAGACAACAGAGGCCTCCACATGTACACAGGTATGCCCCCCCCCAAGCTAAAGAGAAAGAGGGCCAAGCCAAACCAGGTGAGAGCTTCATAGCCTAGACTAGCTAGGTTAGCCACAGTGGAGCTAGGATGTGGACAGATTTGAAATCTGTGCTGGCACTTGATGTTTTGCTCAGAATACCACTATACCAGGGCTTACTTAGCATGTACAATGCCTTAGGTTTGATCCCCAGCACCACAAAAAAAAAAAAAAGTACTGTTAAAAATCTGTTCTAGAGAGAAGATTTGAAGGATTTATTGCTAGAGAAAATGAAGGTAGTTGTCTTAGAGTTTCTATTATTATGAAAAGACAACATGACTATGGCAACTATTACAAAGGAAAACATTTAAGTGGTGTGGTTTGCTTAACAGTTCAAAGGTTTAGTCCATTATCATCATGGCAACACATGGCAGTATACAGGCAGACATGGTGCTAGAGGAGCTGAGACTTCTACGTCTTTCAGGCAACAGGAAGTTGTCTGTCCCACTGGGAGTGTCTTCAGCATCTATGAGACCTCAAAGCCCACCTACATAGTGACATACTACCTCCAACAAGGCCACACCTCCTAATAGTGCCACTCCCTTTGGGGGCCATTTTCTTTCAAACCACCACAGCAGTGTATTACTTAAAACCACAACTTTCTATGAGAAGTGTTTTTGCTAATGTGCCTTTTTTATGTGCTATTTTTAATTGGCTCTTAAGAGAAGGGTCTTAAATAACTGGAAACTGCCACCCCAGAATGTCTTCATATCATCCCAGGCATGTGCCTCTGCTTTGTTTTTGTCTTTGCTGGAAGAGGTTTCTCATATTCTCTGTAAAAGTGAAAGTTAATTGGTGCTGAGGATGTAGGTTTATGGTAAAGGTATTTGTTATAGCATATTGAAGACCTTTGGTTCAACCCCCAGAACAACAACAACAACAAATGCTTCCTTTATTAAAACATATTTTTTTACTTTGATTTATTTAATTGAAAAAGAGGATTAATAAATTCTATGGTGCTAATTAGATATTTTTATTATCATATGCTGTGGTATGAGATGTTACTACAAAGTAATTTACTAAGTAGAAATTAAGATGAAGAGGGGCTTGAGAGATGACTCAGTGGTTAAGAGCAGAGGACCCCAGTTCACGTCCCAGCACCCATGTGAGGAGGCTCATAGCTTCCTGTGACTCCAGCTCCTGGGGACCCAGTGATGGGAGTGGTCATTCTGTATGTTTCTCATACTGGTTAATAATAAAGCACTGTTGGCCAATAGGAAAGGAAGATAGGAGGGACTAGGAGACAAGGAGGAAATAGGAAGTAGGAGGAGGAGTCAAGATGGAGAGTCTGGAGAGAGCAGGACGCCAGCCGCCTCCCCGGTAAGAGAAGGCCATGTGAAAATACATAGATCAGCAGAAATGGGTTCATAATTAAAGGCAGAGCTAGCCGATAAGTAACCGGGCCAACAGTATTGTATCAAATACAGAGTCTCTGTGTGTTATTTGGGGCTGGCTTGGTGGCGGAACAAGAGCAGGCGGCGGGCAGAAAAACCGTACTTGTTACAACCCAGCACCCTCTTCTGGACTTTGTGGTCACCAGCACTCAAGTGTGCACATACCTATACCTAGACATACATATACACGTGATCAAAATAAAAATAAATCTTTTTTTAAATGCAATTTAAGATAAAATAGTGATGAATCATAACTCTCTCTCTCTCTCTCTCTCTCTCTCTCTCTCATTTCCTTCCTTCCCAGTTTGGACGTCATAGACTAAACCCAGAAAACAGAACACTGGGGAGTCTTCGGAATGTTCTCTGTCTTCTTCACCAGCGAGTCAAGTGAGCTCTGTAGATGTTTCCGTCCAGTCTTTACTTGTGCCAGGGAGTGGTGTGGGGTGGGCGAATGAGTCGGATGAGCTCTGCCTGCCTCAGTGCTGCATGGGCCTCCGAACCCTCTCCTTTGTGTTCAGGGTTTTCAGTTTAGGAGCTCAGTGTGATTTGAGGGTAGTTTGGGAATTGTGGAAAAGTTCAGGTCCTTATTCCTTCATAGTTATAAATGTACAGAACTACTTTGGAAAGGAAACCCCCAGGGCTGGAAGTAGAGCCTGGTGGCAGAGCCTGTGCCTAGTACATGCACAGCTGTGGATTTAAACTGTAGCACCAAGAAAAAATAAAGAAGAGGCCAGGCATCATGGCATACTCCTTTAACCCCAGCACTTGGGAGGTAGAGACAGGTGGATATTTGTGAGTTTGAGGCCAGCCTGATCTGCTGAGCAAGTTCTAAAACAATTGGGACCACATAGTGAGGCTTGCCTCAAAAATAAAACAACAACAACAAAAGTTGACAACTTAAAGCCAGTTAAATGTCAATAAAAGATACATATATACATTTATTTATGAAACATTTTCCTTCTTGTTTCTCTCCCAAGAGGTAGTCCCTGTAAAGTGTGCACATTTCTGGAGAAGTATATGAAACGAATATTTTCAGTTTATATATCTAACTTACTGTTTTGTTTTTATTTTTTTGAGGCAGAGTCTTTCTATGAAGTCCTGATTGGTCTGGTCAAGTAGGCCAGGCTGGCCTCAAACATGAGGCTGTCCTATGCCTCTTCTTCTCCCATTTTTGTAACCTTAGCATCACACCCATCCCTTCCTGTTGATAAGTGCAGACTTGCACTATTTCCTGCTATGTAACATGCTGTGATTTTTTGCCAGTGCTCCTGCTGATGAGTGCTAGGTCTTCATTCACAGACGGTGCTGAGTGAAGTGTATAGGATGAGCTGCATGCGATGAAGCAGTCATGACTGTAGAGTCTTTTGTGTGGAATCGCCAATTAAGACAGCCAGAACACATACGATTCATATTTTATAATTTCAAGAAGTGTGTACTTAATCATTGCCAGTTTATCCCCAGGAATAACAGCAATTACTTTTTTTTTTTTTTTTTTTGCCAGCAGTGAGAAGGTTAAGAAAGATGGGCATTACCAGGAGATTTTAACTAAGATGCTGTCAGTTGGAAATTGATGAGATCCTATAATTTCCAAATTAAGTATATTTACCTATTTGTCTTCTTTGGTCCTTACTCAGCCCTGTAGAAAAATGATTATCTTCCCATTCTGCAAATCAAGAAGCAGATTTAAAGGAACTGATTTGTCCAACACTAGAGGCAGAGCCAGGAGAATGGTTGCCATTCTTCAGTATCATGTTCTGTAGTGACAGAAACACCTGCACGGTCCAGTAGGCTGTGACGAGCTACATGGAGCCATTGAACATGTGGAGTAGTGCCAGCACTACTGAGAAACCAAGTTTCCATTGTTTTAATTTTTAATTGCCACATCTGCCTAATGGTTACTGTCATTGATACTGCAATGCCATACCAAGCCTCTATGTTTTATGTGATTAAGAATCACCGGGAGGGCTGGGAAGATGGCTCAGTTGGTAAAGTGCTTGCTGTGCAAGTATGAGAACCAGAGTTTAGATGTCTAGCACCCATATAAAAATCCAGGTGTGGTAGTGTATGCCAGTCCCTGCAGCATGGTAGGTGAAGACACAGGAGTCCTGGAGGTTTGCTTGTCCAACCAGTTTAGCCAAAACAGCAAGGTTTAGTTTCACTGAGAGGCTTTGCTCAAAAAATAAGGTGGGATGCTATAGACAAAGATACTCTAGTCAGCCCAGGCAGTGGTTAATCCCAGCACTCAGGAGACAGAGGCAGGTGGATCCCTAAGTTCAAAGCTAGCCTTATCCACAAAGCCCATTCCAGGACAATCAGAACTACACAGAAACCCAGTCTAAGGAAAAACGAAACAAAAAAACAACAAAAAAAAAAAAAAAAAACTTAAAAAAATAAATATATTTAAGTCAACCTCTGGGCTATGCATGTACAAACAAAGGCATTCACACATACACACACACAGTATCAACTGAAGCCAGGTGTGGTGTGCACACCTGTAGAGGTAGAAGAATCAATTCAAGACAGCCTTGGCTACATGAGACATTTGAGGCCAGCGTAGGCTGCAAAATGCCCTGTCTGTAAAAAGAAAATGCACCCGAAATGCTTGTCACAATGTACATCTGTGCCTTTTCTCTGGGATGGGGGTCTTAAAGTCTCAGTCTCAGCAGCCCTGGGATTTCCACTGTCGGTGGATGTCACTCAGAAGAGCACAATGAACAGGAAATGAACGGGTCCAATTCCATCCTGTGTTTCACATGATTACCCCTTAATAGATTTCCATAGCAAGTTTATAAACTAGCTTGATTCAGGCACCCAATTAGTCCTAATGTCAATCCACAGGCTGGTGTTGCTATTGAGCTAGCGTAAGACACTAACTCACTTTCAGCAAATAGTTTTGGAATGATTACTTGCTTTGAGTTTCAGATTCTAGCCAAAGCAATCTCTGAAGAACTCTTAGTGCTGGTTCCCAGGCTAGCATGCTCCTTCTCAGCACCTGGGAGCTTGTTGGACATGCAAGGTTTTTGAGTTCTGTCCCAAACTTAATGAGTCAGATACTCTGGGAATGGGCTAGCATATCTGTATTTTAACCAGTTCTGCTGGTGACTTAGGTGCTTGTGAAATTTCAGCTGAACCCTATCGGCAGTCTGAGAATCATTTCTATCTCTTCCCTTAGTTCTATCAAGATTAAAATGATCTAATCTTTGGTTTCCCTATCACTTAGGCACTGTTAAGTGGAAATAATTGAATTGGGGGCCCGTTGTACCTTAGAAATTCTTAGTTCTCTGGTTTGGGCATTACCATGGTTCCAGATGCATTCAGGATCTGCTTCCTAGTAGTGTGGTGTTGCCAGCATCCCACTAATTAATGACAACTGTAATAAAGACAAAATATCAATGGCCCCTGAATACTAAATGTCCCTAAATGCCTTCAAAGCTAACAGCAGAGGTCTGTTGGAATTGAAACTCTCCATTGCTTGTTTTGATTCTAAAGAAAAACCCTTTCAGAGAGAAGCTATCGGGGCAGCAGATCTCTTGTAACACAAGAGCTGGTTTTTACAAAGACAATCTATTTTTTCCTAACCTCTTTCCTTTCAGGCGCTTTGGAATAATGGGACTCTACAAAGGCCTTGAAGCCAAGCTGCTCCAGACAGTGCTCACAGCTGCCCTCATGTTCCTTGTGTACGAGAAACTGACAGCTGCTACCTTCACCGTAATGGGCCTGAAGAGCACACACAAGCACTGAAGTCCTCCCATAGGAGTGTGGAGATGTACATGCTGCAGAGAGATGAGGAGTCATTCTTTCCATCCTCACCCCAGACATTCCTGTCATTGGCTGGAAAGGCATCAAAGACTAAACAAGTATAATTGGCTAGACCTATTGCCAACTTAATTTCTATGGTGCTTGGTTGGATTTGGGGGTGGTGGTTAGACTAATTAGAAAACTTGAAAATGAAGGTTTATGGGTAATTTTCTCAAGGGTATGGACTTTCCATCTGAAGCTTCTCTAAACTTTGCCACCTGTTTTCTTTTCCTGAATGCTCTCCCAAGTTCTGGATGATTCAGTACCAAAATTCTCCCTAGATACTTTATGTCTTAATCTTGGTAAAGATTCTCCTCATTGAAAATAACATGATGACTGTGCTGTGGGCTTGACTTTGACTCTTTTCCTCCTGCTTAACGAGAGTTAAGTGAGCTGTTTATTTTGTGGGGGAAATGAAAATTATTAATCCTAAATGGTTTTCTTAAAATTTGCAAATTATTCATTAGTGTTTGACATAGTTTTCTAAACACATAATTTATTTTGAATTGTCTTTTATTACAAAAAAAAAAAGCCCTGATGTTGTATGTCCATTCATGCAACCTCCAATTAGACAAGCCTCAATAAATTGTCAGCACACACACTCACACACACAAATATTCTTGAAAGTTGCTCTTTATTAATGTTTTGAATGGGTATGTGTGGTGATGGTGATTTGAATGAAAGTGGCCCCCATGGGCTCATTTGTGAATGGTTCCCAGCTGGTGAAGTGTTTGAGAAATGTTAGGAGGCATGGCCTGTTAGAGGAGGGGTGTCACTGGGGGCAGACTTCAAAGCCCACACCAGTACCACTTGGCTCTCTCTCCCTCAAGATTGTGATACAAGGTGTGAGCACTCAGTGCTACTCAAGGGCCATGCCTGCCTACCTGTTGCCATGCTCTCCACCATGATAGTCATGAACTGTACCTTTCTGAAACCCTAAGCCCCAAATTAAATGCTTTCTTTTCTAAGTTGCTTGGGTCATGGTGTTTTATCACTGCCGTAGATTAGTGACTGGTACAGTGTGCAGCCAGGTGTTTAAAGGAAGATTGTAAAAGTACACCGAGCACCAAACACTCAGGAGGACTGTGGAATGCTCTCTTCCCTGTAGATCTGTATGGACTCTATTTTCAGAAGCATTTGATGGAGGTTATTAATATTTGGAAACAATTCCTTAGGGTCCTACTACTGTAAAATATGGCCCATCAAACAGTAGCATTGGCATCAGCTGAGAGCCTGTTAGGCTTGCAGCCCAGGCCTTCTGAGTCACATTTTGTAGTATTTCCCACCTATAATACAGTTCAGGAGATCTTAGGTCCACTGGCCCAACAGAAAATGGGAATGACTTTTATTGCAGAAGTCAGATAAATATTTCTTTCAAGGGAAAACTAGATCATTGTAGGAACTCTCTAAATCCCATGTCATCAATTCCTTCCGTCAGAGCACACAGCCAGTGTGGATCCAGAGAGCTCATGCCACTCACCTACAAAGTGAACTATCTTCACATTCATAGAATTCTTTATCCTCAGCCTTCTAGTGTGGCTTCCTCTTAGTAAAATGACTTTGCCTCTTGTGCTTTGGTTTTTGTCTCTCTGACAAAAAGACACACTGTGTATGTAAGTTTATGTTTCAGTAAGTTGGAGAGTAATGAGTACTCTGTGGTCTGGACTCTGGAAATTTCTTGTATTTCATCTTCCTACTTCTATGGTGATTTCAAATTGTATGGCTGTTAAGTAATAATAACTAAGGAATTTTGTGGTATTCTAGAAAACAAAAAATTAAGAGAGCTAGACTTAATATTCATTCTCTATTAAAGACAGAATTGGTCCTATTACTAATGTGTGTGTGTGTGTGTGTGTGAGAGAGAGAGAGAGAGAGAGAGAGAGAGAGAGAGAGAGAGAGAGAGAGAGAGAGAGTGGGAGCAAGTAGATGTGTGCACTTGAACCTGGAAGCCAAAGGCTGCCATCAGGTATCCCCTTCAGCCTCTTTCCACCTTATCTTTATGAGTCAGGGTCTCACTAAACCTGGAGCTCATTGATTTGACTAAACTAACTAGACAGCAAGGCCTAGGATCTAACTGTTTGCACCACCCCAATGCTGGGTTTGTAGGCATGCCTTGCTGGGTCTGCATGGTCCTGGTGCTCAAACTAAGGACTAAGGACTAATGACTAAGACATATCTCCAGCCCCACTCCACCATTACTACTCTTTTTTTTTTTTTTTTTTTTTTTTTTTTTTTTTGAGACCTTGGCTGCCCTTTAACTAGCTCTGTAGACCAGGCTGACCTTGAATTCAATACAGATCCATCGTGCACCACCACACCTGGCACACCACAGAAAGTAAAACTTTCTGTTTTACTGTAAGATTTGGGTGTATCTGTTGGAGGTCTTGGGTGGGAAGCACAAGACCATTGTTTGGGCTCCATAGAGGAGGAGAATGATATAGATGGTGCTAGTGTATTTTTATGATCATTTTAGTTATGCTATTCACTTTGAAACTAGAGTGTTGATCTCAAGGTATGATGGGGTAGTATGTTAGGATAAGCTCCAAACCAAAGTATATAGCTCAGTAAATGTCTATGCTGTGAGAAAATATTTGATACTGCTTTTTCTCTGACATCTTTTTTTTTTTTAATTTTCATCCTTTTTTTGTTTTCTTTGTCTGTTTGTTTTAATAAGACAGGGTCTTACTTTGTTGCTCTGGCTGTTCTGGATCTCACTATGTAGACTGTGCTATCCTCAAACTCTCCAAGCCTTTGGTGACTAACAAGTTAATTGAGCACTATGAAGAGCTGGGATCCCTTAGAAGGAAATGGGATTTTTCCCCCTCTTGAATCATGTAGCGTCTTTGTTTGTTTTTTCTTTTTCCAGACAGGGTTTCTCTGTGTAGCTTTGGAGCCTGTCCTGGAACTCTCTCTGTAAACAAAGCTGAACTCAAACTCAAAGAGATCTGCCTGCCTCTTCCTCCCAAGTGGTGGGACTAAAGGTGTGAGCCACCAACGCCCAGCTTAATCATGTAGTTTCTTTAGCCTATGAGGGTTAAAAACCTTGGAGATTATGTCATGTCACTGCAGTGGAAATGTTAATTTCTGTAAGTGTTTAATCTCTGCTTTAAAGTGGACACTGATATTTCTACCTCTGACTGTTTTACAGTTAACTTAGAAGCATAAAGAAATGGACTGTACCCTGAGAACATAAGCAGTGGGAGAAACCTTAGACTGTATTTCCAGGTTTGCCAGCAGCTCACAAAGTATGTCATTTCCTTGCACTTCTGCTCTTTGATGAGTAAAGATAATAATACTTCCCACCCACTTCAGAGGGTGTGTGAGAGTTAATGATGCCAGCTAAATCCCTTTCTGATCGTCCAGTGGGGACTGAGTGAAACTTGTGACAGTCTCCAGATTTATATAGTAATTTCCCTTCTAATGCTTTTGCTTTTTCTCCTCTCATCATCCCAGTGTCTCTGTGGCATAGGTAGGGACAAGTAAGGATGGCCCCATTTAATTAACAAGGAAATTGAAATAGAACTGTCAGAGGATTTGCCTAGATAGAGCCAGGACTGGAGTTGAGTTTCCTGCATTCTGGTGGAAGATTAAGAGAATGGGTTCTGTGACTCAATTTCCTTAACTGTGGAAACTCTCTCTCCTTCTCTCTCTCTGTAGATTTATTTATTTATTATGCATATAACATTCTGCCTCCATGTATGCCTGCATGCCAGAAGAGGGCACCAGATCTCATTACAGGTAGTAACCATGTGGTTGCTGGAAATTGAACTCAGGTCCTCTGGAAGAGCAGCCAGTGCTCTTAACCTCCTAGCTATCGCTCCAGCTCTTCCCCCCTCCCCCTCCACACTTGTTAAAATACTTTATTTTGTGTGTATGAGTGCTTGTATGTATTCCTATTCACCACTTGCAAGTCTGGTGCTTAAGGAGGCCAGAAGAGGGCATTGGATCTCCTGGAACTGGAGTTAAAGATGATTGTGAGGCACCATGTGTGTGTTGTTAGGAATTGAACTCGAGTCTTCTGATGGGACACTCTTAACCTCTGAGCTCCAGCTGTGGAATGAAGTTCCTGATAAAGCAGCTCATAGGATTAACGTGGTTAAATAAGGATCAGGATAAACAAATAGGCCGAAGAGATGTTTATTCAGGGAGAAATAACTTACAACCTAGACAGATGAACACCAGGAAATTCAACCCGATCCTCTCCTGTCCTGTCCCAGTCACGCCAGCAAGAGAGCTTTTCCTGGCTCTCCCTCCGACCTCCTTCCACAGGTCACTCCGCCCATGGCTCCACCCCCCAATGGGCGTGGTCAGTGCCACAGAAGGACTATCTCACTACATAGGATGTTAAAGGAAATTGCACTTGTAAGAGCTAGATATAAATTAGTAATTATTACTATCATACTGATTGGGGATGTAGCTGGCAGGGTAAACATAACTGTAACCTTACAGAAGGCACTCTGGATTTTGAATCAGACCTGGGCCCAGTTTCCATAACTAATAATGGCCTCATGGCCACAGACCAGTCACTTTGCCTTCAAAGTGTCCTCCTACTGTCAAATGAAAGTATTACCTCTTAAGGCTGTTCAGAGGGCAAAATACAGGTGTGTGGGTGTCAAAGCACCTGCACAGTATTTGTTATGTATTTTTGTTTAACAAATGCTATTTGAACCAAGAAGATTCCTTTGTATATTTCTTTTGATACATCATGTTTTTATTTTTATTATATTTTTAAATTTTTTCATACAGTGTATTTTGATCTAAAATTCTCTCAGATCCTCCCCCATCTTCCTACCCACCCAATTTCATGTTCTTTCTCAGGAAACAAGAAATAAAACAAAAGCCAAAAGCTGGGTGTGGTGGCTCATTCTTCAATCCAAGAACTTGGCAGGCAGAAGCAGGCAGATCTCTGAGGTTGAAACCAGCCTGGTCCACATAGCAAGTTCCAGGGACCAGGAGGGAGTATGTGACCTTCCAAGGAAGGGGAAATAGAATATAGGTTTGCTTTTGATTTGTTTGAGACATGGTCTATTATGTAGCCCTGGCTGTCCTGGTATTTGATATATAGATCTGGCTGGTGTCTAATTCACAGAGTTCCACCTGCCTGTGCCCCTGGAGTGCTACAATTAAAAGTGAGTGCCCTCAGACCTGGTGTAGAACATAGTTTTATAAAGGGAAACTAGGATAGGAGAATTAAATGAGGGTGAGGGAGAACAGGGTAAAAGAGGAAATACAGGGAAGGGTAAATTTGAAAAACCACATTGAAAGCTAGTATTCTAGAAGCTTCCTAAGATATATAAAAGAAATTACCATATAATGAAGGAAACAGTGACCCAATTTGACATGATAATATGCCACATACTCCAGTACCAGGAATGAGTTGCATCTTACTGAGTTGTTGTCCAAAGGGGCCTCATAAGCCACCACCACCACAAAAAAAAAAAAAAAAAA